GCTATGCACTACAACATGCAAGTAGACAACTCAGTATAATAGTGTAGTTTGAAAGTCCATGGTAATCAGTGCATGATGCATTGTATAGGGCTGTTAGGGAACATTTAAGCTTTCAGTACTAATAGGGTAAGCTTAATTAAAGAAAAAGGCCAAAACCTTGCACAATAAAAATGTGTTACAAGTCAAAATTAAATTCAGGTTAAAATTTTTTAACCCAGGTTGATTCTCAAAATGTTAGCTCTGTCTCCTACAGCGTGGCCCTAATTCTTATGATTATCATGTAATGGCTTTCAGATATTGAGAATATTAACTTGAATATAATTTTGACCTAAGAGATACATGTAAACCGTTCAATAAATGCAATTTAGCCACGTACGTTAACATCAGGCAAAAATGCATCCAGAAATTCCCAATGCCACAAACTAAATAAAGAAAGAAACAAATAAAAAATACATAACAAAAGACATTAACACATAATGCTGAGTTGTGTCTACGTGCACGCAGTAGTGCATTAGTAAAATCTTGCAGACAATAAACAGTGGAAATAGAAATGTTATTTACTTCATATATTTCAGTTCAGTGGAAATAGACATTAATTTCCTTGCTTGGGAGCTGGTCATTTGTCACCTGGCCGGGGGGGGGGGGGGGGGGGGGGGGGAAATTTTTTTGGGGGACTTTTTTAAAAATTTTTTTTGGTTTTGGGGGGGGTTTTTTGGGAAGGGGGTCCTTTCTGGGGGGGCCGGATTAAAAAACTTTTTTAAAAGGGTAAAAAAACAAAAAAATTAAATTAAAAAAAAAAAAAAAAAAAAACGTGGTTTTAAAAAAAATGTGTAGGTTAATTGAATAAAAAAAAAACAAGAATTGAAAAGATAGAACAATATAAGCGTGTTTTTAAATTTGATAACAGATGGTTAGGAAGATGAATCGTTATTGTGGCAGCTTGACTGTAAGAGGGTTGGACGTGAGAGGGGGGGGGGGGGGGGTGAAGGGAGAATTTTGTTGGGAGATCATTATCAAAATCTTTGTTGGTTTTGGGGGGTCATTTGTGGGTAAGGGATCCTTACCTGGGCGGCCAGATTAATAAACCTTTTGAAAGAGGTACGAAACAGTAATAATTGAATGTAACAGATAAGAATAGTAAACGCTGATCTTACGAAAACAACTGTGGTTAAAGTATGTGGTGAACTTTGATTTTAAGATAATATATTCCTAGTTTCCACAACAATCAGGTGGGGTGGGGGTCACTTTCACAATATGTAAAATTTATGGGGGGTCATTTCTAGCAAACTATGATGAAGTGGGGGAAGCAAAAATCCCTATGCACTAGTCGACAGTGGAAAGCCCCGCATACCCATCCCCAGGCAATGTGGGGCATTATTAAAATAGCGGGAGATTTCAGGAGTTTTAGACTGTCACTTTTGCAAGGTATGAGGGTTTTTGAGAGTTTTAGACTGTCACTTTTGCAAGGTATGAGGGTTTTTGAGAGTTTTAGACTGTCACTTTTGCAAGGTATGAGGATTTTTGAGAGTTTTAGACTGTCACTTTTGCAAGGTATGAGGGTTTTTGAGAGTACTGGACCAGTGTTTAGTCTACGCTGCATTTTTGCGTCATTGACAAAAATATTCCATTCTGATGCAAAATCAAATTATCGTGGAGTCATACTGACGCAACAAAGGTTACCTCAAAATAATTTATACAAGTACTTCCAAAGCAGCAGTCAATATTAAAAATAAAAAAGGTGTGCTTACTAGCCTGAAGTAAGCATGCAAAATGACTGTCATTTCAGACTACGTGCTTATGAGTAGTTTTTGTGTCAGGCCTTTCACACAGTATAGAGAGAGAATGGAGTGTACATTTCAATGCTCTGCATATGTTCTTTTGCTGATCAATTCAAGCTTCATTTGTTGAATTTGTTCTTTTTCTTATGCAAAAGAGAATAGCAGTTGAACATGTAAAGCATGAAGATGGGCTGCAGGATAAGAAAGGCGAAGGTCATGATAGTCTGGATGATATCAGTTCTTGAATGTTTCAATATCTTAGTTTGACCCAGAACATTCTTGTCAAAATGACTATTTAAAATGCAATGTGGGACATATGACCCACTTTGACTAATTTCTAGATTGAACATTGCTGGAGGCAAGTCTCAGCCAGCGGGAATCATTAGCAGGGCTTACACAGGGATTCACCTTTGATGCAATCTTGAATAAAGTATGGTACAGGATCAGAAAATTTCTTATGGCGGCTCCTAAAATTTAAATTTAAAACTTACATAATTGGTTAATAATTAACTAAAATTATAAAAACTAGATAGAATAATATACAGGTAAATGATAATACAATAAAAATAGAAAAAGAAACAGTTCAATGTTCATTCCTTCGGTTCAGACCGTCTGGTGACAGGGTTTTGCCTCTATATACATGTATGTAAGTGATGTAAGTGTGCAGCCACCCCCTCCCCCAGGAAAATCGGCAGCCCAGTTAAAATCGCCTTTTGGCCTTTCTTGTTTTCTTAAATAATGTTCACCATGAAGCTTGAATGAAGACAACAAAGTTAAGTTAGAGCAGATGCAGTTGTGTAAAAAAGGGTTTGGGGAAAGACATGCACTGCAAACCCTTAACTTGGTTCTGGGGTAAACTATCTGTGTTAGTCTGCGCACAGACGTCTTCCCTTTTTTTTTTAAAAAAGAACTTGATCGCACAAGCTCTAGTGCGTTGAAGATGGTGTTATTTTCAATTGCACGTTCAGCAGTCTAAAAACCGAATCGATGATCTGTGAACAGAGGTCAATAAGGAACAATTGTACGTACAACTGCAGAAATTCATAACAGCTTTGGCAACTATAAACAGTGTTCGTTACAGTTTTGTTTGTTTTGAGTATTATCAAATCAGCAAACGAGTTAGAATGTGTCAAAAGTTAACTGATTTTTGCTGTGATTTTGATGTACATGTCTTTGTTGTAACATAAACAGGATGTTTCTTAGGAAGCATTTGTTGTTGTTGAATATGATATATAAAAAAAAGGAATAAAGATTGCAGATAATTAACAATTATTCCACGAGGGCGCGTTGGATATGAGATGATAGATAGCCAACGCGCCTCGTTGGCTATCTATCATCTCATATCCAACGCGCCCTCGTGGAATAATTGTTAATTATTATAAGTTTTGTTTCCCTTAAATATGCCTTTCTTAAGATACAATAATACCTGGCACTGATCGATTCAGTCGTTACCATAACATTTTTACAGATAATAAATGGATGTTTTTATTGAAAAGAACTGAATGCATTAGTGCAGTGCAGTGCATTACAACCAGGGTTTGAAAAGTCTTACATCCAGGGATCTTATATCAGAGTTGTAAAGTCTTACATCCAGGGGTGTTATATCAGAGTTGTAAAGTCTTACATCCAGGGTTGCAAAACCTTACATCCAGGGGTTGTAAATCCCTACGTCTTGGGGTTACAAATCCTTACATCCATCTTGTGGCTCCGGCCCCACCTCCAAAGCCAGGGAAAAGCACCCTGAGGACGAGGTTGGATGATGATGGTGATGATGATGACGAAGACGATGGTGATGAAGAAAACGACGCTGGAGATAATGCTGATGATGATGATGGTGGTGATGATGATGGTGATGATGATGATGATGATAAAGATGAAGATGAGCTCAGTTAGAGTACATTAGAGTTGACAAGATGCCCTTAAAGCCCAATTTAACAGAGGGCTACAATTGACAGCATGTAACCAACAGACAAACAGAACCAAACTCTAATGTTTACATTAAGCAAGCAAGCAGTTCATAATTGCTCTCAATGTTGGTGAAACAGAACTATCAATGCCGAGAAAATGATTTTGGATACTAAAACAAGGTTCCTCTCATTCTTCGGCCCATTCCTCGGTCATAGACCACATTAAACTTGTTGATGAACTGAAAAAAAGAATTTTTAAGCTCATTAAGATTGATAATAACTTAACGATGCACTGAATATCACAAAGAAGACTATCAACATCAACTGAACCCAAAGGCACTGGTGGACGTAAGATATGTAGCTCTAACTTAAGAGTTCAAAACTACAAGCAGCCTCTTCTACTTCTTTACAGTTAGTGTGAAGAGAAGAGAAATTTGATGCTGATCACTCTTAGGGATAAGGAACACGGAGGAGAAAAATAACCCTAACCCTATCACCATCCCATTATTCATTCTCTGCTTTCAAGTTCCCGTTTCCTTTTCCATTTCTCTGTTTCTGTTTGTCGCCTTAGAAACAGTTTGACAAAACCGATTACACATAAGAAAACAAAACAGAGAACTGTCGCAATAGGATGCCAGGAGAAAGAAACGGCTAACCTTGCGCAGACCTGCCAACCCTCTCCGTTTTGCCAGGAGACTCCCGGTTTTTTGTCATTTCTCACGGTCTCCCGATGAATACATAAAATCTCCCGGTTTTGCTGAGAAAACCCTCGCTGATATTAATTGTGAAATTAAGCTTTTAAAGGTTTGTTTCATACAACAAAATCTGTAGCACACAGAACATTTTCCGTTTTGGCTTCCATTGGGTCGTTCTCAAGGTAACCAAGTCTAGCTGGCTGTGCCTTGGAATGCTTTCCTACGTAAGAGAATTTCACAAGCAATGGCGGTATTTCAGCGTGAATCAGAAACAGTGTTACATATTGACGAGGACTCCAATTCAGCTGAAAGTTCAGATGAATCCAAACCGAAACGACAGCGGAGTGCTGGTAAGACTAAGAAGTACGATGGATCAGCAAAATACAGAGTGAAATATAATCCTCCAGTGCTAATAGTTAACCTTCACCTACGTATAGATTGTCTAATGAAGTTAGGTGACGTTTTTGCAAAATCTGCAGTTTTTTTGCTCAATCTCAAGGTTTTTTTGAGCCCACCTCCAGTTTTTTCACTCTTGGGGGCTTGGCAGGTCTGCTTGCGTGACAAGCATGACAACAAAAAAGTTTGAAAAAATTTCCACCAAACTTCACCTTCTTTTAAACAGATCTTTTTGAAAAACAGCAAGTAATGACCGTGTCACTTTTGTCACACAAACATTTTGCTGTCCTTTTCTTTCTGCCCTCCTGTTGCGCTATGTCACTATTGTTAGTTAACACATACATCGGAATAAAGGGCACATTCATTTGAAATATTTACACATATAGTAGTTTCATTTTGCTATAAAATTTTTTTAGCTTAAAAGCCATAGAAATGAATTCCAGCAGGCAAATGTGACGCTTTTTCGCGTATGTTGCAAATAAATCTGCCCTTAAGGCCACGTTATCATAAAGGACCTTAGGCTAAGACGATTCTAAGCGACGCACATCAACCAGAAGTAAACTTTTGCATTTTTAGGCAGTGAGTTTCGCCAAATTTTAAGCCTGATTGTCTCTATAGAAGTAAATACACTTGGCAATACAAATTTGGTAGCTTCCAGGCATATTTAGTGAGTTTACGCAACAGAACGGCAGAATGAAGAGGACAGCAAAACGTCTGTGTGTGACAAACGTGACAGGGCTATCACTTGGGTGTTTTGTCATGATCTTCAATTGACATTAACGCTTTCTGGTCTTCTACAAAAATAGCTGTTTAAAGGTAGATGAAGTTTGGCAGAAAGTTTTTTCAAACAAAATTATTGTCACGCTTGTCACACAAGGTTTGCCATCTTCTTTCCGTCCTGTTGCGTAAGTTCACTATTAAGAGGGAAAAGGCCACACTTCCGGTTGAGGTGCGTCATTCAACAACGCCTTTACTGTGAAACTAAGAACATGGAGAATGAAATTACAACTTTAAGATTTGTTTTTTTTATTATAGTAAGTGGATGCAAATAAAATAAACATACCTCATTCAAGCTGTTGGCACCTTTTGTTATTGTGGACAAATAGCACATCAACATGACATCATTACATTGCTGGAAAAGAGACATGAGACCACTTTATTTTAGTTTCACTGATTTCAGGCAGCATGTTCTAGACGAGTAAAAAACTGGGTTTGATATGTGACCACAAAGCCTCTTGGGATCGTTTAGAGGGACAGCTTCAAGGTCAGCACACGACGCACTACAGCTGCTGTGTTCAGAAATACAACTAATTTTTACTTTCTAAAGGCCCCTGACTCTGTTGCGAGAAAGTAAATTTACATTCCACACTTAAACGTGAGCTTGGGACACCTGTGATAGTCTCTGTGGGGGCAGGGTTTGGGCGGGGGGCATTGCGTGACTGCGGTCCGAGCGGTTGCGAAGGAGACTAGGCCTTTGATAGAACCAAAAGAAACTAATTGCATACACAACAATGATAATGACAGCATCATGGAAACACCTCTGATGAGATTACAAAGGAGAATCTGGAGTCTAGTCTCCATGACAGCTTGAATTAGCCTGCGAGCAAGCTCCCTCCATTTTTGGTGTGCTGCTCGCCAAATAGAGCCTCTGTTTGCAGGCTATGCGTGGAGTAAAAATCAGGTGACACTTACATTGTAAAAGTCTTCTCTAAATACATCTGTCTGCATGACTGGAAGCCTCTGGATTAAACTCAGTGTATCCCTCATTATCTCATGGTTACAAGGAACTTCTCCTGGATTAATAATTATAATGAAAAATAAAAACTCATCAATGCTGCTGTAATTTTCTCAAATTTATATAGTCACAGACAAAGAAAATCATGCACTATGTATTGCATAAGTGTCAGGACCCTCATGATTATTTTACACCCTGGGAGGTGGGTGCTACCTATAATGGCCTATACAGGAAAGCTGCGCCCAAAAGGGGTATCTTTTTCAGGCTTCAGGTATGTGAAAGGGCAGGGGTTTCACTAGTTGAAGTATATGAAAGGGTAGGGAAATCTGTAATTGCAGTCTGTGAAAGGACCTCAAAGAGCTAGCAGACATATTTTATGGCTGTGGAAAAGACAAGAAAACTTCATGGTTAAGTAATTAATTCATGTTTTAAAAACAGTGCTTTTACAGCTGATTAAAGAGATGCATTCAACAAGAAACTGGCATAAGCAATATCATCAACACTATCAGGAAAGCAAAGCATAGATGGGCATTCACATCGCACGGCTATCTGATAACTGTTGGACCATCAGAGCAACAGAGTGGACCCCAAGAATTTGGACCAGAAAACAGGGTCATGAATCCAGTTTGGACCGGTATGGTCAAGTGTAGCCAAGCACAGACACGTGTGGGATCAATCCAGGGAGGAGTTCCTCTGTCAAGAGTGAATACAAACCCTGATGATAATGATGGTGATGAAAGAGAGGCAGCATTCTAAACTAGTATGTGACAGGGGTATTTTGTCAATGAAAGGTATACAAAAGGGGTATGTTTTCTGTCAAAAAATGGTATATACTAGGGCAAGTGGTTAAACCTCAGGCAGAGCCTTCCCATATAAAATTCTGTTGAATACCCCCTCCCCCTAAGATTTTACATGTTTGCTCACCATTTTTTACAGCTTTGGCATATTCTAAAATCATCTTAACTCTTGAATGAAGCATCTTGATGGCATTGTACTGGGCAAGAAGATGCTCTGAAACTGTAAAAAGATATGAACAATGTCGGACAGAAAAATGAAGGCTTAGTTTATGTCTGTAGTGTTATCACTGTGGCTGTATTGACCAGCTCTAGTCACCCATAATATTACTATTTGCAGCCCTATGCTGTACTCAAAAGTCTGTGACATTTACTTGCTAGAACTTATTTTTTATTTAAGGACTTTTTTGCAGTGGATAAAACATAGCCTTGACTCTCTTTACTGCCCACTTAAGGCCAGTTGGTTTAGTTCTACATTCCCTGAAGAATATCCACGTCCGCTTACAAAAGGAGCCCGCTTACAGCATTTTAACAATGTACGCAGTGAACTGAAGAAGGGCATGGTTCCAGAAGACCCTGATTATTTTGTGTTATCCCTATGATGGTCCATGGAAATACAGTGAGAATGTGGTCCCACAATCGTACATATTTTGTGGAAGAAAGCAAAATCTAACACCAGAAAGCTCAGAGAAAATTCTGAGCTCCATGTGGGAATCAAACCCATCACACTACAACTTACATGTACACTGTGTAATTTAGATGCTCTAACCTCAGAGATACTACAGGCTCTAAGGTGAACGGGTTGAAATTTAATCAAAATAAGAAAAGTCACAGAGAACTGTTTTGATACACCACTACAAATTAAATGATAATAAAATTATATAAAACCTGTTGAAGTATCAACTGTCCCTGTATTGGATAACCTTGCCACATGATCTACTCCAATTCTTTCAGCTTCTTCTGTAGCTAACGTGTAGTGAGTTTGCACAAACAACATACGTGCCTGAAGATTTAATAAAGAAACTACATTAAAATGGTATGCTGTACATGTACACTTAAAAGAAATAGCTTATCACTTCTGAAAATAACTCTTAAATAGCATTTGTTTGCATTTGACACAAGGCCCTTATGTTTGCACTGATTGATGCTCATACCGAAAATTAAGCTTAGTGTTATATAATATTTTACAATAACTGAGCGAATCCTCGCGTGCTGATTGGTTGAGAGCTATGGTCTATGACAGTATAGCCCATGGACACGACATAACATGTCCCGCAGTGCCGGTTGTTTTTGTTTTTGGTTTCTTGTAAAATAATAAATGTCATTGTAAAAAACAAATCGACCACAATTTTCCATGATCTACACTCTTTAATATAGACCATAGAAATGATGCCACAAAATGGTCAAAACTTTGCATTGAAACCACTTGCCTGCAGCTCGTGGTTCCACTTGAGTTTTGACCATTTTATGATGTCATTTTATAGTCTATAAAAGTGTAGACCTTGGAAATTTGTGGTTGATTTGTTAAATAGTAGGGACTTTAAGATCCAACAACGCAGACGGCAGCAAGAACACACAAAAAAAACAATAGGTTTTATAAGCAAAACAACAACTTTGCATGTGTAACACACTTTTTGGTACATTTCTTTGCCCGTTTTTGCACGACTACGACGTAAAAATGCCTAATTTGGTGTTTTATGAGGACGTAAACAAGCAACAATGAAATTTTATTTCTTTTTCTGTACTTGAATATGGTCCCTAGGAATTCAACTCCAGGAGGGTTCACCTACATTTGACAAAGTAAGTGGGTAGGAATAATTGCGATAAAGACTGAAAGAACGCAAATTCACTTTTTAAGCAACAATCTCATTGCCGCCACGTTGTTGGATCTTAAAGTCCCTAATAACTACTTACTGCTCCATCAACAATGTCTATCACAGATTCAAACAAACTGATGGGTAACTGAAACAAAATTGTTGAAATTACAAGCAAGTTAAAAAGATGTCTACTCATGCTCAACATGTCAAACAACAGGAAATATTGTTCCACTTTGAAATAATAAAAAAAAATCACAGTTTAAGGTGGCAACCAAATTAAAACAAAATCATCAAACAATATCACTCACTCCAACATGTAATAATTGTAACTAAAATAACATCAAATAAAAAAGCAAAAATTAAAAGCAAAAATTGATGTGTACAGCATAGCATATGTTAAACAACAAAAACAATAAAATTGATACTAACTTACATCATTTGTCTTTGCAAGTGGATTAAGTTTCAGAAACAATGGACTTTCATTTATCTCACACATCTGAAGAAAAATTAATTTTCACAAAGTTTGAGAAAGTAGAAACATAACAACTTCAAAAGATCAACAGTCAATCATCTTCACAAAACTAGACTGCAACACAGACGAAACCAAACTTTTGGTTAAGTTTGTCGGTGGGTGAGCACAGAAATCCCTGTTCTTGGCCACCAGCTGAGTACCAGGATTTGACGAGTACACACACGGCATGGTTGGCCCGCTAAAAAAGGCATTATTTGATTGGCCAATCAAGTTGAAGGAAATTCGGAATACACTTTTAGTAATTCAATGAGACCTTTGGGGGCCCAGAACAAAGAACTTACCACTGCTAAGCAGATAGTATATGCCAGCATTAGATTACATTATGTCTGTGACAGAGGTTATACAAAACAAACCTGTTTGTGTACTTTGATGTCATTTTCAGTGGGTTCAGACCCTGTCGTATACCAACCAAGGAAATCCAGATTCTTAAACACCTGATGAACTATAAATTAAAATAATAATTTAAAAAAATTAATTTAAACCTATTCGCACTTCAACTGCCTACAATTGCCTGTGTGGATCAACATCCCTTGTGCCGCTTGTGACATCACCAGCAATAACAATGCAGTGACAATTCGATCTCTCAATCAAGAGGTTAGTTATTTAAAGGGATAAAATATTTAAGCAATAGAAAACGTTTTCCGTGTTTGCATAGCCTAATATAAACACGAGAGGGGTTGGGAGAATTCGAGACGAAGTCGAGGGTTTGCATAACTGTCGAGAATTCTCCCAACGCCTTGAGTGTTTATATCAGGCTATGCAAACAGGAAAAAAGTTTTCTATTGCTTTTATAAAATAAATTTCCCAAGAAAAAACGCAAAACTCTTTGTATGGCACTGATTAAAATAGAAATTCTTACCAGTCGCAAAGTCTTGTCCACGAAGTCTTGCACGCGTAATCAGTTCTTGTTTTGCAAAAAGATGCTTTCCAAAATACAGACTTTTCTCGCTTAAAATGTCAGCTAAAGCGAAAAAAGATTGACACACTTTCTTCGCAACGATTTTCCAAGTTTCAGCTGACGAAGGAATGGGTGAATAAAGTAAACTTGTCGAGTTTTGAACATGGAAACTTTTTCAAATTCGTGCTTGCGTGATTAGCGCGGGTAAAGCAAAACAACTTGACGCCACAATTATGTTTACATACCCTCATTCAAACACTTCTCTCAGCCAATCAGAGCGTGCATACCATCTTAGTTATTTTATAAGAAAATTTGGATTTATCAGCTAAGTTGATAAGGTAAATAGATTAAAAAACGTGTTTTGGGTTCCATTATTAGGAACATTGGGAGGCATGTTATTGTAGTTTATAGAACATCACCAAAAATTGCAGTTGCACCTAACAACCAGGTACAAGCTTATTTTTCAGATTTTTTACCTTGACAAAATCTTGTTTAAAAGTTTGTCATGCATCTTATAACTGAATTCACAAAATAACTAAAAAATATATGGCCTTTTGTTGGCAAACCAAAGAGTTGTGGTTTGTGAGTGGTTCATTTTCTTAAAATGGCAGAGGTTCACTTATTGTGGGAACATGACAACAAGAAAAAAAAATTGAATTACTTGGAAAAAAAGAATTAATTTGAAAGATAAATATATTTTTCTTAACTGCAACTACAGCTTTCTTTATGCCTTGGTGGAGAGAAAAACAAATGAATCCATCGGTAGGCAATAATTATTTTGAGTTACCTAGCATGGATAGCTTGGGGAACTTTGTTGTCCCTTTAATTTCAATCAAAATAAAACCTTTCCATACTTATTTAAAAATTTAAACCAATTAAGAGCTCTTGCTAAAAAATATGCAATATTTTCAGAGCAAAAGAGGGAAGAATACAAATCCATGTCAACAAAATAGGCCAAAGGAGATTTTGCCCTAAATTCACTTGACAAGTGGCTAGATTTCTTTGCTTGACTCTCTTCACACGTTTAGGGAAAGTACCACAAACAAAGTTTCCATTTTGGATTATAAACTTTGTTCCTGTTATCTCAACAAGTCTTGTGTCTTTACGAACATTCTGTTAATTTCCCTCGTTTTGAAACATTACCCTCTCTTTGTTGATGAGGAGAGGGCCACCATATCTGTTATCAACAGAAGACAGAGAGTCTGGCTTAGTCATACCCTATGACATGGTGATCCTGTCCGATTAGTTATTGAGGGTAGAATAATAGGAAAGAGAGCACCAGTCATTTTCCACTAAATTTGCATTAAAATGTTAAGAGTTGTGTCAAAAAATTTACCATAATTATTCAAATAGTGGGAGCTCAGCTACCAAATTGAACGTTCATATAAAATAACTGTTTAAAATGTATGAATTCAAAACGAGGCACAGATAGACAAACTTGAAGAAGATTAAAACAGATTGTTGTTTTTAATGTTTGATATAATGTTTGGGAGACATGTTTGTAAGAGATGAAACTGTAATTTTGTCATCCAAAAGAAATTTCTCAGGTTTCATAGCAAAAACCGAAGCATAGAAGTTGTTATTAACAAAATCAAACAGTCAGCCATGACAAAGCCCCTTTAAAGGCGATTTTACATGGGATGATTTGCAATGATGATTTTTAGTGCAACACAGCGTTGCAATGTTGGAAAAATATTGTAGCTGTAAGCGCCAGGAATGTTTTCCGTTACCTTTATAGTATTTTTATGTTCGCCGCGTTCTTAGTTATTTTCGTGTTCGCACCTTTAGTGCTGTTGTTTGGTTAATTAGTTTTTCATTGTTCGCGTAGCTTTGTCCTTCGTGTTAGGATTTTTCTGCATATCGTATATTTAGCTTTTATTGTAATTTTTCGCGTCAGTTCTTCGTTTAGCTGATTGTTTCATTCGCATTTCTAGATTGCCTTATTGCTTTCGTTCAGTTTGTAGGTTGTTTTATCTTGACTTTGTATTTGTTTAATTGTTATTTTTCAGTACCGCTATACTTCGCTATACTTCGCTATACTTCGTTATACTTCACATTGGTTCACTTGTTTCCCTGCACCAGTTGTAGAAGTTCTAGAATAAAGTTTGTGTGTTAAAAACTTTAGCGCGTAAAGGCTGTGACTATAGTAGCTATTCGAACAAAATTAATGTCACAACAATGTTGCAATGCTTTCTTAAGCTAAAAACCGTCATTGCTAATCGTCTTGTGTAACATCAACTTGAGTGGCTTTCGTAACTTAAGGGGACTGTCACTTTATAGAGGAAAAAAACCACATGTACATGTAACTGAATGCATATTGAGAAGACTGATGAGATTACATGGCAACATGACGAATCTATATTAAGCCAAATGTAAAGTGAAGAAAAAGGAAAAAAACATAACTTCTTTTGATTATTTTCTGTAGTATTCTTGCTTGAATCTACAGTAAACTAGTTAACATCCAAAAAAATTACTAAGAAATGTCCTAACTACGATATTCATCATTTGTGGCTAAAAGATGCATCCAGAAATGACCAATATTTGCACTTTTTTGGTCTCTGTTGTCAAACATGTGACATAATATTTTGTTGTATTAAATTTGTCATTTTTCTTGCAGACCTACTTGTTTTGCTCTATGGAGCAGCGATCCCTTATAAGTAACAAAAGCCCTTTGAGTTGATTAATTTCCAATACCTTAATTAATTCATTGAGCATAAATTTCCTATAATAAAGTATGACAAACTTACACTGTTCTTCTTTAGTCTTGTAATACTCCATGTTAATCACAATTTGACCATCATCAAACAGATCAAATTGCAGCTCAAAGGAATTGAAAATTTCTATGTTTCGTCCATCCTGAGTTCCAAGAAGAGCTCCAATCACTAAACCCAAAAAGAGATAAACAATTACAGCAATTTCAAACAATTATACATAATAATCATACCATAGCTAGAAGACTTGCCTAATCAAATTTAATAGTGCAAATGTGCTTCATATTCCCATCCAGCACGCTGATGACATCAACCAACTAAAACCTCATGTTTTTGTGGGTTTAGCAATCCCCCCAAGTGCACCCATAACTCAATAGAACACGATGAAGCATTTACCATGATTGTGTTTTATAAATTATGTAATCTAAAAAGAAATGCCTTTGAATTTGTTAGCAGATCACAGGGGAGCGGGTGAGTGTTGTTGTTGTCATCTGGGCGAGCTATGGTGTGTGCAAATCAATCTTTGCAAAGTTTTTTTGTTCAAGAAGAATTTTTCAGTGAATCTATAGTTTTCCGACTCAATATGGATTGTAAAACACTTTTTAATGTTTTCTCAAGTGTCTTTTGTAGTCGTTCTCTCAATGAGGGTAGAGTTGTTCTCATCTAAGCCTGGAGCAACTCTTACGCCTCTTTTGTGCTCTACAAATTTTGCTAGTGCTTCATATCTCAACAAACGCATGCTGACTCATAAACCAATTATTGTTAAATGATAATAATGAGCAATATTTTAAAAAACATATATTGGAAATTCAATGTCCAGCATGTTCTAAGAGCTTTTAACTTTCACCTACTTTCACCCACTTTTAACAGCAATAATGTTTAAATTAGACGTTGAGTTTACATCTGTCCACATACATGTATGAGCCTCTCTATGGGTACTCGGGCATAATTTTGTTGCCCATTTTCCATCAAATGATCGGTTTTTCAGCAGAGTCGTTGCATACTAAGAATTGCTTAGCGAGCTCGAGAAACCACAATGACAACAAAGGAAATGACAAAATAGAAAAGGAACAGGTTTAATAAGCAAGAGAAAAACTGTACGTGCAGCACAGTTATTGGCAGATTTCTTTGCAATCATCCCATGGCTATTACTTTGTCAAACGTGATTGGAATGGGAGTGCAATCCTCCCTATAATCTTCAAGATGGTCATTTCATTAATAGTGATCGTCGTGACTTCAGTTTCCCTATTTCTCAATTACTTTTCCAAATATTACATTTTGTCATTTTCACAATAGTTTTAGGAAAAACCTCAAAATATAATACTCGCGAAATCTGATACTCAGAAGATTAAAATCGTGAAATTTAATATCGGATATATGCATCCATAAATAACGAAATCCAAGCCGCTGCTGTATTAGTTATGCCAACATGTTTCAGTTTCAAGTTCAGGAGTTTTTTGTTTGATTTTGGCCATTAGCCTTCCACCGCATCACCCTCGCTTTCCGAACTGTTCTCTGCTGCTAGATTCTTCAAAATCTCGCTGGTGCAGTCGTCAAACTTTTGTTGGTAATTGTCTTTGTTTGCTGTTGTTTACGACAAAATTATTAATTCTGTTACGTTGTTACTGTTCTGAGGTCAAGTTACCTTTACATCTAAAAGAATAGAAAAATCGCGAAATTTACTACACTTTAATTCTACCCTTCCCTAAAATATTGCAAAATCAAATACTCGCGAAATCAAGTGAGAACAAGCTACGTCGGAAATACCTATACAGAGTGTCGCAAATATAAGCTTAATCGTAACTGAAACCTACCTTGAGGGTTCGGTTTTCCATACTGTGCTTTTATCCTAGTATAATGTTCAGAAATATTCATGATGACGAGAGGATGAAGAGCCACAGATACGCTTCCACTGGAACCAGAACTTGCCAAAACAGTATCGGATACATCTTTTGATGAGGAAGGTTGAACTTCCATGGACGACGCCATGTTGGATAGTTGGTGGGTAGTTCATCATGTAAGCTTCCCACAAAATGTCCCGTGCACGTCATGTAAACTTTCCGCAAAATGTTCCGTCAAAAATGCACCTGGGCTGGTTTGCACGGTCTCTTGGGTCATCTCGTTGTTTCCAATGTTGCCTTGTTACCTGCTATCTTGTTACCTTGTCTACCGTTTTACTTCAGTAACCTTGTGTGAAAAAATCGCGAGGAGAGGGATAGGAAACCCTTTCCCTTCCCTCTCCTCGCGATTTGTTCACCCTTTCCCAAATTGAGAGCCTGTTCACACGCTTGGTAAAAAGAGGAGTGGGAAGCGGGAATTTCGATAACGAGCGGGAGCGGGAGTGTTCAGTCCAGTTTTTGTTGGATTGGGATACGGGAATCGTAAGGGAAAAGCAGGGGGATACAAGAATTTAGTTTTTTCGTAACCGCATTTTTTATTTAATTAACCAGAACTGACTTTAAAAATGACTCTTTTTTCAGTAGTCACCCAAGGAAATGAAGCCTGTCAAATTTATCCATTATTACCCTTGCGTGTTTTCGTGATACCTTAAAGTTCCGAAAGTAACAACCCCTCGAAAGTAGCGATCCCCCTCGAAAATAACGACCCTCCGAAAGTACAGACCTCAAAACGAATTTCCCTTTTCGCAACATATAACGGATATGATAAATATCCTGAACAGATGCTACACTAATCCAAGGTTTATTAATTATATTTAATGAAGCTGAGTATCTTTAATATGAAGAATTATGGAGATCGCGAAGGGTGTTAACACCCTCCCTCCGGATAACACCCTCCGAGATCGCCATAATTCTTCATATGATACGAAAGCCGAATTCAATAATTGTTTTATTATTCATTCAAAATAATTCCCAGTTTAAAAACATGGCTAAAACATGCATGCTTATCTCCATCGATCCATCGATGTTAAGTTCATCTTCGAAAGTGTACGTTTAGAGTTTGTTCGGCTCCGAAAATATTCTCCAAATAGCAGATGTCGCCCTTCGAGTTGTCTTCTTGCTGTTCTTGCAATGTCTTTGGCTAGTTGTTACTCTTGAAACTTCGTTCTCACAACCAAAACAACTCAACCTCGTCCCCAGGTCTTCTCGGTTAACGGTGCATTAACCTTTCAAAAAAGCTGCACTTTTGACGTCATTGGTTCATTAAAGGCAAAATTCTTCCAAATTTGGTCATCAGTAGCTGGTTATGGTGAATTATGCGTGTGCTTTTAGCCAATCAGAATCAGAGAAATATTTTGAATGAATAATGATAACGATTACTTAACATTCCCATTAATAACTCTTAAAGTACACTAAATACATTACCTTTTTTCAAAAACTATTCCTTTTACATTTTTTGCAATTTTATTTTCGAAGTGCCCATGTGGAGTAAAGTGTCACGTTTTAGCCATCCGAAAGTAACGACCCCCCGAGAGTAACGAGCGTCCGAAAGTAGCAATAACAGAAGGATGCTAAATCCTCTTCACTTTCGAAGCTTTACGGTATTCCGGTACTTGGTAAGCGTGCCCGAACGGTTAAAGGCAGAGGTCTGTGTGCCAAAGTGCGGTCGAAACTAGGGAGAGACACGAAAAATACGCGGTTTTATACAGTCGTCGCGCGGAAATTTTACGTCGGTACTTCGCCCCTTTTAAAACCCACTGTGAGGAAAAAAAAAGAACTGTTTTTCAGGTTGCACGCAGATATTTTTGTGAGGATTTAAGACTGGAAGAAAATCTAAGAAAATATGGAGATTTTAAATAGGGAGTACAAGTAGCAGTGCAAAAGAGGAAGAAATCGAAGGAAAAGTCCAAGAAGGGTGGAAAAGTAAACTTTCTGCATGGGGGGTTGTCTGCATTTGGTTGTGCTGTTCGATTCCATCGCAGGTCTATGTTTCTGAATTTCTACAAAAGAGAACATTTTCTCAGTCTTTACCAGTGTGTTCATATACATTTTCCATAACCCGTAGTCAGTGTAGATAATTGGCTTCATCGCATAATGGCATCTAGCAGTAAAGCAATCGAAGCACTTTTCTACCTAACTCAACTGGCTGTTTTCCAAAAAGCCAGTAAACAGATCGAAGTAAGCCTTATTTTTTGCGCGGACAAAAAAAAACATGAGCAAAACAGAAAATGAAATTACGGTCGTTAATGGTTAACAATGTTTCTTTCAAGCCGAGAAACAAAGAAACTCGTATAAGAAACTCGTATAAGAATTAGACGGGGATCGGGCTGATCGGGATTCGGACGTTAAAAAGGGCGGTATACTAGGATTAAGAAGAAAAAACAAGCTGCGCGGGAAGGTAAGATTTGAGAACCCTATTGTGTACCATCCTTGTTATCCCAGGAGGGGACTCCCATATAAAAGTGACGGGGGTACTCGTTGTCTTGCCATATAAAAGTGACGGGGGTACTCGTTGTCTCGCTTTGGGGTGTAAATCAACCTCGTCCCCAGGGCTTTTCCCTCAAAAAATGGGTGGGGCCCACCCATTTTTTTGAGGAAAAAGCCCTGGGGACGAGGTTGGGTGTAACTTGCAGAGGAAATTTCAGATTTTGGTCTCACTTAGGATGTTTGGGATGGAAAGTCACTATATTTGCCCATTCCGGTATCGCTTAGTGCTGTGTACCTTAAGGGTTTAATTTGAATTTTCCGGCGCGTATCCCCGTCACTTTTACATGGGAGTCCTCCTCGGGTTGATATCCCAGTAATCTTGTTACCTCAGTCACCTTGTTACTTTAGTTATATTGTTACCTCAGTTACTTTGTTACCTCAATTAAGTTTATGAACAAACATGTATTTCTTGCCATGTCTGGCACGATGCCTTACGATCCTGTCACGCAATAGTCAAGCAAAACCAGAGATGTCACTTATAATAACCATTAAAAACCACAATGAATTTGATTTTGTTGCCCTAGCACTGGTTATACAAAATTAGCGAAGTCAAAAATAAGTAAAGAAAACTACTATCCTCAAAATAGACATTTATTGGTAACTCAAACTTGACTCAATCCTAACTCAGACTCAACTCTAACTCAACTTAAGATCGTAATTCGACAAAGAGCCGATCCCGAATTTCCCTGGCTTTAGTTTTAATATGCACCGATCGCGTTGCTTAGCGGTGAAATCTAACATTTACGACAAATGGCGTCTTGAATGCAATAAGCGAAGTAAATACGTACCGATGACTTGTGGCGATAATGCTTTTATAAACTATCGTTTATTTTCACTTTCTCAGTCAATTTAACATGTGTTTCCATTTTTTCTCTGACTGGTTTTTTGTTTTCCGGTTTCTCCAATGACACCCTGAGCTACCCAATCCAAATTTTATTACATACTCTGTATAATAAACAGCATACGGTAGGGAATGATCGAGAATGTACTAAACAGTTTCTGGTTTTCAGCTGACTTCACGGCGACTATGGCCGTTTTTATACTAAGGACGCATTATCCATCTGGACGAAATTGGGGAGACATTTTGTAGTTTGTATAAAGACGGGCATAAAGACGGGCACCGGCTATGCGTCCAGACGAACTACCTTTCGTAGTGCGTCGTTCAAGACGTATTTCGAAGGAAAGTTGGTCCAGAGGCGCGCATAATGCGCCTTGTGCCTGTCTTTATACTTGAGGCGCATAACCAGACGAACCTCAAATGTTTGCCTAAGTTCGTCCACGCGGATAATGCGTCCTTATTAAAAAAACGGCCATAGACGCGTTATCCGTCTTCGCAGATAATTTGTCCTCTAATATAAAAACGGCATATTTGCGGGTGAACCCCGGGGGTCGACAAAAGCAAGAGTGATGATGTGGGGAAAATTTCCGTATTCAGACACGTGGTGACTGTAAATCACGTGACCATTTCAGTCATGTCGAATCGGCCTGTCGAGATGATACTAAAGTACAACCCCGTAAGACTGGACAAGTTGTGTTGTGTTGTGCCCACTCGACATTGTTGACTCAAGGGTATACTTTGAAAAGTTTTCAAGTCGCAGAAATTATACGAATGGACAAAATTATTGTCGAGTCGACAAAATAACTTGTCGAGTGGAAAAAACTGCATCTCATTAACAGAAAGAATAATATGGCGGCAAAATAGAAACAAGAGCGTTACACATATGTATATCTCACTCTTTAATTCAGGAAGCCGAACCAAGCGCTCATGGTACGCATAGATGGCGGCAGAATAAAAAGTTCAAACACATATATTGGATAACAATCAACAATTCCAACGCGCCGGTGGTAGATCCAGGCCTCCATCTCTGTCCAGAGCTAGAAAATAATTTTTTTCCGCTGAGAACTAAACTGTCAAAAACAATCAATCGAGTACCCTTATGGAAGCCTTTGATCATAAGTCAGGCTGCAAATAAAGCTGAAAAATAATATAAACAATACATAATAGTAATAATAATAATAATAATAATAATAATAATAATTATAATAATAATAATGACAATAATAATAATAACAATAATAATAATAATAATAATCATACTAACAATACTTAATACACAATGAGCATAATTACTAGACCTACATGTTACATAATACATAATGTAATATGTTATACATACTGGTATTACGGACATCACATCTTCATCTTTTTATAATTTATTTGTCCCTGTTGTTTTAAGGGATTACATGAAGAAATAAATGAACAAATCAAGGCATACGAAAATTAAGAACTGACTAGTTGCACTAAAATAAGAAATGGCAGTTTTGTTGCAATCATTTATTTGCTGACCTGGCAGTCACTGTTTGGAAACGTACTCAGCGTTTAAACTTTGAGTAAAGGCTAAAAAATACTCTATTTTTGCAATTCAGTATCATTGGTTTTTTATTGTTGACGGTGACGACCGCGTTGCTGTTCACAGAGAGTCACTGCATCTATTTTTACACCTTTTGCCCTTCATTAGATTATTAGTATTAAAAAATGCTCATGTTCCATATGCTTGCTTTTTCGATTTTTGAGTTGCGTGAACCCAAACAACTCTTGATGTTATTGCATTCGTTATTTTCATTCATCTTCCTGCTCGCTGATTTTACATTAGATGTATTGACTGAACATTGTACGCATCGCGCAGTGTTTGTTTGTGCCAGAACCGCAGAAAATTGAATAGTTGTAAATACGCGCCACTTCTGCAGTACGAGTTGTAGGTATATTGTAAAATTCGCTCCCGAATTAAAGCATGCCTCTAAATTCAAAGCGATGTTGGCAAGAAAATGTACGTAAAAATAATAATTGTTATTGATAATATATTCTCATAAACGAATATTTACCCAAGGAAAATGAAACTTCATTCGCACTAAAGTATGTTGATTTCGATACCAAAAACGTTAGCGAAATTGGCCGTAATGATTGTTCTCCTTGATGCAAAAACCTTACTGACTATGCCACAAAATTAAATGTTTGCTTCCTCGGCTAATTTGTTTATACATTAATAAAATAAAATGAATAACATTTTCACGTTAATAGAAATTTATTTCTCAGGTAATGAAGGGCAAAGGGTGTAGATCGAAGATATGCTACGTTTTTTTTATCACAAGCGTAAATGTAGTTCTCGAGCATAAAAACTAGACACCCGTTCGTTCGTTTGTGGTGAATCAAATATAGTAACATCTCAAAATAAAAGTGGGCCGGCGATTTCATGTGTTTGTTGGCCTCCTTAAATAAACTCGTGATTTCTTCGGTTTATTTATTCCAGTGTATAGGCATATTATTTGACTATTTTTGCCACAAAGACTGGAATAATCCCCGATGACACTGAACTTAAATTATACGTCAATTTACGCACCTCGAGTATTTTTTACTATAAAGTCTGTTATGATCTTAGTGGTAAGATCATAGTTTAGAAAATATGTTACATACAAAGCCATTCTGAAACAATTTGCGCATGTGTTGTTATCAAAAATTTTCATTTTCTAACCTTATGACGTCACAATCAACTGTAAAAAAAAAACCCAAACGTAATATTTTACCCGTAATATTTTATTTTACCCTTCAAGTCAAGAAATGATGCTGCATAAAAAAGGGTTCCCAATGCAAAGATACTTAAAACGTTAACCTCACCAACGCTGGTACTGTCGATTGACAAAGAGCAGAAACTTTACGTATTTCAGTTGAACAAGAGGATAAATGGCTGCTTGCCGACGAATTGCGGAGTGTGCAACTTGCAGCACGGATACTTCGCTGGTGAGGAAGTTAAATTGAACCGGAAGTACTATTGCTATAAGTGTCCAAACGAATGATTTCGTACATATGAAAATTTGAAGAGACATTTTGGGAGAATTTCGCACATTTCCCCTCAATTTGTCCATTGTTTTCGATCGAAAAGATTTTGTGGATGGTCTTACCCCTTTTTATTGAATGAAGTGACATCGTCAACCGGCTTTTTAATAACTTAATGGCTTTGCTTCTCAGTAGTGGCCAATTTGGGCGTTTATGCTCTAAATATCCGACTACATTTATAAAGATAAGTAAAAAAGTTCGGTATGTAAAATAAGAAAGTCATTCTATATATTTATTTAGATTAAAAATTGGTTAGAAAGTTTGTGTGTCCAAACACATTTGTAATTTATAAAGTAACTACTCGTTATGTGATCCTGGTAGAGAGGAAAGCCACTGCTTTTCTTAAACAGAGTTTGTATTTAAAGTACAGATCGCTAATATTCGTACTCTCAGACGGTACACATGAAGATCCAATTTTTTAAATTTAGAGAGTAATTCGGGGTTTCATATCTTAACTAAGTCAATTCAGATTTAACATAAAAGAAAAACTTTGAAGGTGGTCTGCATCAAAAACATCTGTGAGAACATTCCTACCAATAATCGCGGACAGATTAATAAATCCTAGAGCACATTATTCCTTCTGTGATAACAACGTAGTAAGCTATTTGTAAATCTTAATATCACCTTTAATACATTTAGTATTCACAAAATCAGTGAATAGCGGTAGTCGACCAGTGGCTAGTGGGTATAGGTGATCCGCTGACCCTGACCCTGTTCAGGATAAAAACTTCCCCACATACATACCCTGTTTAGGACAACACCCTCAATTTTGGTACCTTGTTTAGGAAAAAGGACAAAATGCACGCCAGAGCAAATTCACGTTATAATCATTGCTTTTGTATACTTGGAATACAAGCAAAATTCATCTAGCAAATCAAATCAATCGTGCAGCCAATACCGTGTTGACCGACTCAAAAAATTTATACCAATTATATACCCTGTTTAGGACAGAGAGGTCAATAACCATACCTTGTCCAGCGGCACATCCCCGTATAGGCTAAGTATAGGCCATATAAAGGAATACCCCTGGGACATATTGAGAGACTGAAGAGCATGATGCAGGCCTGTCTATAGACTTTTTCATTTTATACCCTACCGACCAACGACTTTATGAGCATTAAACGTGCTGAATGGGAATGAATTCAACATGAGCTTTGTTCTTAAGTTTTTCATATTCTTTTAATCATTCTACGCTCTCAAATTAAAGGTCTCTCAAAAAGACTGTTTTGCCAACGAAAATTGCTCCCGCGGCTCTCGCGAGAAGGAGAGAGGCAATTAAAATACCGTTTTTCCATTTCAAATACTTTAAATTCAATGGCAGATTGATTCAGCAGTTTATTTAAACCTCGGTGGCCTTTTCTAGCCCCATCACTCATGGTGTTTAATCATTAATGTTGCCTATCTCTCTCTCCTTTATTCAGATAATCACATGTGAAAGTGGACAGCACACATTCTGCCAGGAATGCGCGATAAACTACTTTCTCTCACTCGGAGACCCTAACACCGTGGCTGGTTCCGCGGAAGCTGGATTAAGCTGTCCTCTGACAGACGACTGTGGATCACAGCTCGAATTTAGTCTTGTGAGGGATATTCTGGGCCAGATAAATCGTGCTGCACGAACTAGAGTGCAGAGAAATTTGCAAGAGCACATCTTGAGGTGTTTGGGGAGGAATGTTCGCATTCCCTGTCCAAACGTGGAATGCACTTATTTCGTCATTCAAACAGAACACGATGATTTTCAAGAACTCTTTCTGTCATGCCCCAAGTGCTCTAAAACATATTGCCTCACCTGCAAGCACTCTCTCAGCCTTCAAGGTTACAAGGATCACATTTGCCCAGCTGATGATGACATAACCGACACTAACGCCAACCAAAAATTACATGAAGTTCTTACCGAAGCTATTTCAGTTCGATGCCCTAATAGTCAATGCAATGCGTCTGAGGGAGCTCCTCGCGCGGTCAAAGATCCTGCGGATTGCAACACAATGAGATGTGACAGATGTCGCAGATTTTTCTGCTTCATTTGCTCCAGGGATTTGGGGAGAGAAAGCTACCGGGCACATCAAGCATTCCCTCACAGGTAACTGAATAAATGCACGCTCTTGCCTCTCTGCACCCAGTCTCCTTTTCAAGGGACCTCTCCTAATCGGACGAGTAAGTTAGAGAGGGCCCTACGAACGAGGTCCTGATTATGGACCATCCCACAATGCATCATATTAGCACATATCAATAGCTGTGTTAGGACGACTTTAAAGTCTAGTATAGCTAGAAAAGCAGACGCCTTTAACCTCTGACCACTTAAACATCTTGTGTTAAGTGCGTCGTTCAGACGCTTTAAGAAACTGGGCGACTTTAAGACGTTAATGCGTCTAGTATAAAAATGGGACGAAATGACTGAGACAGTGTTTTGTCCTTTTTTTTTTACAAAGGAATCTGTTCTTTTTAATTCCTTTCGTCTTATAATTTAATGCATCTCGTTTTTTTATATACACCAGTTGACTTTGACGTCTCAGATGTTAAATGCGTCTTGACGACTTAAACTTCTCTAGCATAAAAAAAGGTCACTATGTACGTGGCGATAACTTTTTCGATTTTTTTTCAAAGAAAAAAGTCTCTTTCACCATTTTGTAGTTAAGTAACTTATAAAGGCCGAGTGTACTGAAAATACCCAGACCTAGCCCCTTAAAAGATAAAAAAACAAAATGGTAAAAAAGCAGACAAGATCGTTGCGGCGTTCTAACAGTACACTTGCCTTGGTTCTTAGGCTGCGTGCAAACGGACGCAACAACTCCCAACATTGTTGCGCCAACAATTTTGGAAGTTGTTGCGTGCATGTTATCAGTGGTGCGCAAAAGGATGCAACAACTCCCAACCATGTTGGGGCCTGCAGTTCATCGTGGGAAGGATACAACCCATAAGTCTTTGCAAACCATGCGTAATGAGCGTGCGTGGCCCCAACAATGTTGGAAGAGCTGTGCAAACGGATCCAACATTGTTGCGCTACGCTTCGGCGATCACGGAACAAAAGAAATGTTGGGAGTTGTTGGCTGAAAAGTTTGACCGGTTTCAAAACTGCACAACAACACGCAACGACATCCAACAACATGCAACAGGGTGTGCAAACGGACACAACATGTAACATCCAACAATGTTGGGAGTTGTTGGCCAACAATGTTGCGTCCGTTTGCAAGCAGCCTAAGGGAGAAAAGTCATCAAATTTTGTTTTTTATCTTTTACTTACAGGAACGTTAAAATGACAGAAGCGCGTCCATGTTGGCTTGTCAACGATGAAGAAATGCAGCAAACACACGAAACTGCGATAGAAATTCGACAATTGATCGCTGTTAGGAACTACCTGTTCTCACTTGATGTAAGTGATGAGAGAAAAGTACGGCTTCTCGAACGCAATCGCAGAATTTTAGGAAGCCTCCATTCTGCTTTGCAAGAAGACTTAGAGCTTACTAAAGTTACAGTGAATTGTGTCATTGTATAGAATACTCTCTTGCGGTAGCGCATGCGATATCAGGGAGCTTAACCAACTACGACAGTGATAGCTGCGAAAACGACACTTAAAAAGTGAATTCGCATTGCCTCAAACTTTAACGTGCTTATTCCATCTCGTTCAATTTATCAAATATTGGCAAATTTTTCTGGAGTTGAATTCTAAAGCATCGCGTCAAAGTACAGGTAAAGAAAAAGAAATTCTTTGTCTTCGGTTCACGTCCCCAAAACGTGAGATTAGGCATTTTCACGTCGTAGTCACGCAAAGTGACGGCAAAGAAATGTGCAAAAAAGCGTGATGCACGTACAAAGATGTTTTGTCAATCCAAACCTATTGCTTTTGTGCCGCTCTCGTTTTCGTCGCTGTCGTCGTTGACTAAGCTCCCTGTTTTTTTAAATTCGCTCCTGAAGATGTTCACTACGGAACAAGGGCTTCGCTCACACTGCACTAGACGAATCTTTCACCGGCTGAAAAATTTAACCGGGTACTTTGTTCACACTGCACCGTTCAATATTTTTGCCCTGTTACAGTGAAATTTGATCGGCTATTAAACGTATAAATTTCCGTACGAATTTTCAACCAACAACAACAACAACAAGTTTTAAACATTTTGGGCAATAGCAGAGAAAGTGAATTTCATCTTCAATTTCATTAGAATCACAAAATGGGCATAATCTTTTGTCGCAAAGAGTTTGGTTGTATCTTTCGATCCAATCTGGTTCATTTATGATTGCTTACGAGTATTTTTAAAATTTTACAGTTATAGGATAGTAAAGGGTTGATCATCGTGTCGAATATTTCACAGCCAAAGAAGGTTTTAATCTACTAATGCCTGTGTGTTTTCGCGAGCCGAAAAGGGCGAAAAGGGTTTTCTCTTTCAAGTGTTCGAGAGACACATTAAAATTACCAGTTGAGGAGACTCGGGTTCCTAAAAATGTGTATTCGTGTACAATATCAATGGTCTTTTTCCCTATGTGTCGATATGTGGAATTCTAGGTCGGAGTTTGTCAACAAGTCGAAAATTCGTCATGTGCAGTGGAACTTAGCCACCTTTGTCAATGTGGCTATCAATAGACCTTTTCACGGTTTTTTCAACTTTTTATATGGACAAGTTCAAGAAAATCCGTCGGCATCACTGAAAAGAGCAACTTAAAATTAGTAAAATTGCCAAATTTGAAAGGGATGCGTCTTTAGCATGCGAAGATTATAATAGCTCCACAAAGTTGTGAAAATTTACCGACGTTTGTACGGTGGAGAGCAAATTTGTGCTCCCCCACTATACCAACGTGACCAACTTCTGTAAAATTTCGCGCCGTTGAGGAGCTATATCTTCATTAGTAAAATCCAACTAGTGGTCTATTATCAACGCTGCGTTCTGATTGGTTGAGCTACTACTAGGCTATATGTTATAGCCCCCTAGTATCGAAAAGCGGGGGCTTTTTGGCTGCAAAAAAGGATTAAAAGGATATTTTTGACCAACAGGGCTATTGACGCAGAGCCCATTCGGGCTCGAGGAATAATTGTTAATTAGCTTTCAACAAATCACTTTCAAACTTGGCAATATTAGTCATTTTAAGGCGCTCTTTTCAGTGGTGTCGAAGGATTTTTACTGAACTTGTCCATGTCAAAAGTTGGAAAAACCATGTAAAGGTCAATTTGCAGTGCAAAAAATCAAATTAGATTTAGTGAGTTACCTTTGTCATGTTTAAACGTTTATTTGTTTTTAATAACTTAAAAAAGGAGCTTTTAGTCTTTCATAAAATATATAACACTATTTATGGAAGGGGCGGAAAAAGTGGTTCTAGATTCTGAAGCCTATCGCAGACAGCACAAACATAAAATATGTGAGTAGTTAAAATTGGTGTTCATGGATCTCTATGTTAGTAGTGCTGCTGAATTTATCGTATGCTTTTTTCGCGAGTAAAAACCAGCCTAGACGGCTTACGTTACTTTAACAATCTTTGTAAATAGCTGTATAATTGCTATGTAAACAGTATATATTAATTTTCATAACTTTGTGGCTTACGCCACAACATGGCGCCAATGTTGCCTAGTCACTAGGCCTCATTATTCCGCGCGGCCTATGAGTTTCGGGTCACGTGCTCCGAGCGTGCTCCAAAATGCCGGAATTTACCTAGCCTCCCACGCAGACGTTCTTAGGGGTTTTGTCACGCGTTCCTGCCCCACGAACGTTCGCGGGGCAGGAACGCGTGACGAACCCCTAAGAACGTCTGCGTGGGAGGCTAGAATTTACCGTAAGACGCCGTACAGAGAAACTAGGCAACCGTAGTTTAGAACTCGGAGAGTTTGATACTCTTATCACGTTTTTGTTGGATACTGTGTAATCATCGATGTGAATATTTTTATCAAGTGGAAATAAAGACCCTTAACAAAAACATAATGGTTGTTTTATCGCCAAACTTTAGATGACGAATAGCTCTGTCTTTGAAGGAAAAAAATGTTGTTGCAAGAGAAATTGCAAGGGTCAAGTGTCGGTTCAGATGTGAGCAACGAGTTTCTCGCGATCAACAACATTTTCCTGAAGACATTAGGCCCAGGGCAAACGTCGAACTTTTCATGAATCAATGAATAAAGAGTCGTGGATGAGAGGACAACAGACGTACCCTCTTACAATACATTTTAACATGTGAACAGTAAACTCGGACATCGGCATACAAAGGCGCCACTGGCAGCCGCTCTCAATCCATTTATGAGCTTACTGTACCCACCCAACCCATGATGTGAATGATGTGATGTGTGAAGGTTGACCACACCACTGGGGTCTACGTCCCCTAATCTTTTCGAACAGTGGTGTGAGTTCTTTTACGTCCCACAAGAACCAGATAAGTGAAAGTGCTGTGAAACGGGACCTACGGTTTTTTGTCTTTATCCGAGAAGACTAGAAAGTCTAATAATTTGCAGATGTCATTACAAAGGCAGCACTTTCTTCTCAGTTATTTAAAGACCCTGAGTGTTGGTCCGGCCGGGGTTCGAACCCGTGACCTCCCGCTCAGCAGACCGGCGCTCTCCCAACTGAGCAAACCAGGCGGCAGTTCATGCATGAGACGAACCAAAATGTAATTTGGGTCGACCTATAGCTATATAGCCGGTAGCTACTCTAAAATTCGGGTTAAAATAAAGGTTACGTATTGATTTATGCAACATAAAACAATTCGCCACTTTGAGGTTGCGCGAGAGACCGGGTCCAGATGGTTGTCAAAGTGCATTGTGGGACTGTTTGGGGGGACGCTTTTTCAACATGGTGGCAAATTCATCCCCCAAAACAGTCCCACAATGCACTTTGACAACCATCTCGACCCGGTCTCCCGCGCAACCTCAAAGTGGCAAAAAGTCCAAAGAAAGAAAGAAAAAAAACCGTCCCATAATGCAATACAACACAACAGCGACGGAGTCTCAAGGGCAACCTCTTCAAAAAGGCCAATGGAACAAGCGGATAGCGTTTATTTTCGTCCCCAAATTAAAGCCACTCGACATTTTTGAAATGAACCGAATCGAACTCATGACTAAGGGGCTATTTGCATGATCGATACCGGAATGACTTTCATTCTGGAACGAGTTCATTCCATCTTCTCATATTTTTCTATAGTGTTTACATGATACCAAAACGACATTTCGTTCCCGTACGAGTCATTCGGAAATTAGATCATTCCGGTTTTTTTATCCGAATTAAATTCTCGTTCTGGTATGAAATTTTTTTCTGGTATCATGTGAACTGAAATCGAAAATCGTCTTTAAACCGTATAGTCTGGGGTGAAGTGGCGCATGCTTATTTGATCTGGCGCGAAAACCACGCGAGCGAAACGTGAGCGAGAACGCCTAAGGGTTGATTTCCATTGCCGCGTAATTTTTACGTGCGTACGTGCGTAAAATTTACGTTCGCAAATAAAATGAAGGCAATGCATGAAAGGTCGCTCGAAAGCGTAAAAGTTGAACCTCGCTCAACTTCTCGTTTAAGCTCGGCACTTCAGTTTTATCTGTCCTCTATTTTATTTACGTGATTAAAATTTACGTGCTTTAACGTTCGTAGCCAAACACGCGTCAGTGGAAATCAACCTTTAGGCTGAGCTGTTCGATTTCAACATGTGAACGCAGTATGAACTTCACTCTGCCAACGAAACTCGTTTCGGAGTGAAAGTCATTCCGGTATCATATAAACAGCCCCTAAAAGAAACGACAGGGGTTGGGGGTCGAAAATTGCGCATCGCTTGTCTGCGCAGTTGGGTAATACGTTGTCTTCAGCTCTTTGTTTAACCGCTAGTCACGTGAATAAAAGTACGAAAGCTTTGAGCGATGACAATTTGAGGATTGTAGTTGATGGTAGGCCATTCTCGTACTCCAAGAAGTTTAGATGGCATATCATGAGAACAAAAAGACGATCATGATGAATAAGTCATCATATTAAAACCGCTCTTGACTTTCGTGTCAATACTACTGGGAGCTGGGAATAGTCCGTCTTTTGTCTTCCATGAAACTTCAGACTGCAGGCAACAACCATTTAAGGCAAATATTTACAAGATGCTTTTAAATTTATTGGCTCTACAGGTTTAAGCTACAATAAAGCCCGTTTTGCTTTTTCGAGCTTTTGTTAATTGTCCTTTCAAACGCGCCATTGAATTTCTTATTCGCGATCATTTCAGTGATGCGTTCTTCTCAGTAAGGTTATGTAGCGAAGCAACCCGTGCGTTATTGACGCAATTAAATTTTTCCAATTAGGACTAGGCAGCAAGGTGAATTTTGTATTTTAGTAAGTTATCGTTCTGCTCTCTCCGCACGTATCCTTGCGAGATCGTTTTCATGTCTCAACACCGAAACTTTTTTTGGTTGTGAGTTTTTACACGGTTTTGTACCTTTGACGAGTAATAGCTGACGCCCGGGAGCTAATGACGAAAAGCAGCAAATGAAACATGCATGTCACCGATTTTAAATCTTATTTTCTAATGAGCGTTTGGACTGTTTGACTAATCATTAGT